TATTACCATTGCAGTACAGTGTTATCTTTTACAAAGCAAACCTTTGTCGTTTATTTGTTTAATGATCTTTTAGTTGCTATTGACCTGTGCTTATAATCTTAAGAACAAATGTATATAAAGCAACTTACTATGTGGCAGATTTGTTCTAAAAGTTTTACATATATTAATTTAACAGTTTACTAGCTGAAAATGCAATGATGAATCAGTAGGTTAGATCTTTCTTCCTTTATGGAAAGGAAGTATTTAAAATCTAGTTTAAGTCTGCCTGAATGGTAGAGTCCAGAATTCAGATCCAGGCCCTCATTCTCTGAGGCTTCATTGTTAGATTACTATAATTTCTCTTGTGGCTCATTTGATTATTAATACTTTTCTTCTCTTCTGTATTAAGGTATCTCACTTCCACCACTATTACATTCGAGCTCTCCTTCTGGTTCCTTCTTTGACTTCTGTCGACATCCACATCTCCAAATCCCATTTCTTCAGTTACTTTTTCCAAAGATCTTTGACAGTGCAACCATCAGTGGGAGTGTCATTGTTTGCATTGATATAGATACAGAAGGTAATGGACAAGATTTCAAGTGCCTTCTGCAGTTACTGAGGTCAGTAGAGGAGGAAATATGTAAATTTATGCTTCTTATAAGGACGTGAAGAATTTAAAAGTTCATTCCCTGGCTTGTGGATCTGGCCATACTCACTTCGTCCAGACACAGTACCATATTTTCTTCCATCTCTTTGTTTTCTTAGGTTGGAAATGAAAACAGCTGTTAAAAATAAGAGCACATGAGTCAGTCTTGAATCCCAATGTAGTAATTACAGTTTCCATCTCAGTTGGTAAAGTCCCTCCCAGTGTACTAAGCCCGATATCACAATCCCCTTGTGGGGAGAACGCTGCCAATGGTATTGTCAATTTTATAGCAAGACTTTAATTTTTGTTTTCCAAACCTCTAAGATTAAACATTAAATCACTTGCCAAGTCAAGAAAAATAACAAGGAAAAAATACTTCGATTTAAAAACTTGATTCTTCATATCTCAAAATAATAAGAGATATTTATGATAAACTCACAGCCAATATCATACTGAACAGGCAAAAACTGGAAGCCTTCCCTTTGAAAACTGACACAAGACAGGGATGCCCTCTCTCACCACTCCTATTCAACATAGTGTTGGAAGTTCTGGCCAGGGCCATCAGGCAAGAGAAAGAAATAAAGGGTATTCAATTAGGAAAAGAGGAAGTCAAATTGTCCCTGTTTGCAGATGACATGATTGTATATTTAGAAAACCCCATCGTCTCAGCCCAAAATCTCCTTAAGCTGATAAGCAACTTCAGCAAAGTCTCAGGATACAAAATCAATATGCAAAAATCACAAGCATTCCTATACACTAATAACAGACAAACAGAGAGCCAAATCATCAGTGAACTCCCATTCACAATTGCTACAAAGAAAATAAAATACCTAGGAATCCAACTTACAAGGGATGTGAAGGACCTCTTTAAGGAGAACTACAAACCACTGCTCAATGAAATAAAGGAGAACACAAACAAATGGAAGAACATCCCATGCTCATGGATAGGAAGAATCAATATCATGAAAATGGTCATACTGCCCAAGGTAATTTATAGATTCAATGCCCTCTCCATCAAACTACCAATAACTTTCTTCACAGAATTGGAAAAGAAACTACTTTAAAGTTCATATGGAACCAAAAATGAGCCCGCATTGCCAAAACAATCCTAAGCAAAAAGAACAAAGCTGGAGGCATCATGCTACCTGACTTGAAACTATACTACAAGGCTACAGTAACCAAAACAGCATGGTACTGGTACCAAAACAGAGATATAGACCAATGGAACAGAACAGATGCCTCAGGAAATAACACCACACATCTACAACCGTCTTATCTTTGGCAAACCTGACAAAACCAAGAAATGGGGAAAAGATTCCCTATTTAATAAATGGTGCTGGGAAAACTGGCTAGCCATATGTAGAAAGCTGAAACTGGATCCCTTTCTTACACCTTATACAAAAATTAATTCAAGATGGATTAAAGACTTTAATGTTAGACCTAAAACCATAAAAACCCTAGAAGAAAACATAGGCAATACTATTCAGGACAAAGACTTCATGACTAAAACACCAAAAGCAATGGCAACAAAAGTCAAAATAGACAAATGGGACCTAATTAAACTAAAGAGCTTCTGCACAGCAAAAGAAACTACCATCAGAGTGAACAGGCAACCTACAGAATGGGAGAAAATTTTTGCAATCTACCCATCGGACAAAGAGCTAATATCCAGAATCTACAAAGAACTTAAACTAATTTATGAGAAAAAACCAACCCCATCAAAAAGTGGGCAAAGGATATGAACAGACACTTCTCAAAAGAAGACATTTATGCAGCCAACAGACACATGAAAAAATGCTCATCATCGGTCATCAGAGAAATGCAATCACAACCACAATGAGATACCATCTCATACCAGTTAGAATGGCGATCACTAAAAAGTTAGGAAACAACAGGTGCTGGAGAGGATGTGGAGAAATAGGAATGCTTTTACACGGTTGTTGGGAGTGTAAACTAGTCAACCATTGTGAAAGACAGTGTGGTGATTCCTCAAGGATCTAGCACTAGAAATACCATTTGACGCAGTGATCCCATTACTGGGTATATACCTAAAAGATTATAAATCATGTTACTATAAAGACACATGCACAGATATGTTTACTGTGGCACTATTCACAATAGCAAAGACTTGGAACCAACCCAAATGTCCATCAATGATAGACTGGATTAAGAAAACCATCATTCTGAGCAAACACAAGGACAGAAAACCAAACACCGCATGTTCTCACTCATAGGTGGGAATTGAACAATGAGAACACTTGGACACAGGGTGGGGAATGTCACACATGGGGACCTGTCATTGGGTGAGGGGCAGGGGGAGGGATAGCATTAGGAGAAATACCTAATGTAAATGATGAATTAATGGGTGCAGCAAACCAGCATGGCACATGTATACCTATGTAACAAACATGCATGTTGTGCACATGTACCCTAGTACTTAAAGTATAATTTAAAAAAAGAAAAAGAAAAAAGAAAAGAAAAGCACATGGGACGGGGAAAAAATAAAAAAAAAAAAAAATTTGATTCTTGCAACATGCTCTTTTTTCAAAACTTAATTTAGATTTTGACCAAATCCCTATGTTACTATTAGAAATGTCAGTTACTGTTCCACATTCTTTTCTTCTCTTTTTTTTTTTTTTTTTTTTTTGAGACAGGGTCTCTATTGCCCTGGGTAGGGTGCAATTGTGCAATCATAGCTCACTGCAGCCTCAAACTCCTGGGTTCAAGTGATCCTCCTGCCTCAGCCTCCTGAGTGGCTGGGACTATGGGCATGTGCCACCATGATCAGCTAATTTTTTTGGTAGACATGTGGTCTCACTATGTTGCCCAGGCTTGTCTTGAAATCCTGGCATCAAGTGATCATCTCTGTCCTTGGCCTCCCAAAGTGTTGGAATTACAGGTGTGAGCCATCACCATGCCTGGCCACTGTTTCACATTTTTTAAAATGGAACTTCAGATGGACTTCATGGTATCCTCACTGTGAATAATTTTCTTGAGCTCTTATAGAGGCTAAGCCTTGAATTGTTTTCTCTTTTCTCAGTTCCTGAGGTTTATGATCTAGTAAGCCAATCTCAAATGAGTCATCTACCACCTATTAATTGATTGTTACCTTTGAGAGCAGATTGATCCTCTTTTAGTTCTGCTTAGTTCCCCATATCAACAATTTAGTCCTTTACTGAATAATCCCACTGTCTAAAGCTGTGATGGTTCCTCCTCACCTCCCAAATCAGCCGCCTCCAAATCACTAATCTAATGTTACTCTATAAATGTGCTACTGGCAGGAGAGCTTTGTGCCTTATAGGAGGAGAGTCAGGGAACTTGGCCTTTTCACTCACTTCACTTTGCCCATTTTATTTCCCCTTTCTAAGGCTTGATTATTTATTATTTGATTAGATTATTTCTGAAGTTCATTTCCCCACAAAGATTTCTATAATTTTGTTACCATTGTGTCCCCCAAGAGCCAATTTTATGTGCTGGAGATGAAGACACTGCATGCCTAGCATGACTTACGGAACTCTGCGGAGGCTGTTCAGCCCCAGCTCCCTCTACCACACCTTAAGTTCCACCATTAGATATTCATTCCTTGTGGTAGGATAGTACCTCTCAGATATGACACCATTTAAAATCTAGTATGTTTAGAAGGGCAAACCCATAAAACTAGTATGTCAGACAATATAGTATCATGGTTAGAGGTAAGCTCTGAGGTCAGACCACCTTTCACACCTGGGCTGTGCCACTCAGTAGCTATATGATCTAGGCAATTAATTCATCTTTCTGTGCCTCAGTCTCCTCATCTGTAAAATGAGGATAATAATACTCTCCTGGAGGGTTTTTGTGAGGTCTCAATGGAATCTGTAAAGTGCTTAGATGAACATTATCCTGCTTTGTAAGTGTTAGCAATTACTATCTTCATTTGCATACATTTCCATGTTGTGTTGATGCATATTGTATTGAAAGCTGATACCGAGTCACAGAGAAATTGTTTTGTTGGGAAACTGGAAGGAGATACTTTGAACACAAGAGGCACTGTTAAGGGACGGCCTGTGTCACAGCTGGTAGCGTAAAGTCGCTGGGTGCCTGCAGGTGGATAGGGAAGCATGTATAAGAGACAGCAAGGGAGATGGGCCTCCTTCTAGTCCTAACCAGTATGCTCAGTAACTGATAGAATGTATCAGCTAGGACGATGAACAAGTAATGTGATGTTCACCTGCAAATTAACTTTGAATTCAGTACTTGCTTAACTTTCTCTGTGTCTCATAATTCCATGCCTTGTCATTTTCAGATAATGCTAGGTCTCTGAGCTATCACACTTGAGGAGCTATGGGGAAATGTAGAGTGTTTTACGTTGTTGAATGTCCTTCCTTCTTTTCTTTAGATTACATGAAGCAGATGACATTTGAAGCCCAAGCCTTTTTAGAAGCTGTGCAATTCTTCCGACAGGAGAAAGGTCACTATGGTTCCTGGGAAATGATCACTGGGGATGAAATCCAGGTAACATGGGGCTCAAAATTTTGGATTCTCTCTATGTTTGGGTATTTGGTTGATAGGAAGTCAGGGTCATTTTGTTAAACAATCAAACAAAAAAGTTGCAAGTATGGAAGATGTGGTTCCACAGGCCATCTCTCTCATGTCTGGAAGCATTGCTCAGGAAACTACCAGGCACCCACTGCGAAGACCACCAGACTGGGCCTGAAATAGGGCAGCCAGAAACATGGCAACTACAGTGGAAAGAGCTGCCCCCACTGTTTTCTATGAAAATAATTACTCTTTCAAATGACCTCGTGCTTCCAGACTAGAATCAAGTGTGAGTAGCGAGCAGTAGTGCAAAGTGCATGACAGGGCTTTAGCTAGGGTCAGCATACTTGGACTTAAGTCATGCCAACTTATTTAACCTCTTTTAGTCTCAGATTACTCCTCTGGAAAAAATAAGAATAGTAATGTTTACCTTGCCTTGTGAAGTGCAGTTGGAGAAGTATTTGGCAAGCAGCTGTCTTTATTGAATTATATGTAAATGAAGTAATGAAAAAAATTCAAAAAGCGTTAGACGGTTTTCCGTATATTACATTTATCTTTTCTAGTTTTCTGTGCCCTGTAGTACATTATAATTTCTCATGATCCTGACTAGATGCCTAAGTCAGGCCTAAGCACTTCAATGGGTTTGGTACCAGGGACGGTATTATAAATCTCCAAAGGAAACTGCTTTGTGATGTGACCCCAGCCTCCATGATGACACCAGTCACATGGCTGTTTCAGCCAAGAACAGGAGGCTGGGTATGGGCATATTTACATAAAGTAACATGGTATTTCAGAATGATTTTTTTTTTTTTTTTTTTGAGGAGTCTCGCTCTGTCGCCCAGGCTGGAATACAGTGGCGCAATCTCGGCTTATTGCAACCTCTGCTCCTAAGTTCAAGCAATTCTTCTGCCTCAGCCTCCCGAGTAGCTAGGACTACAGATGCATGCCACTACTCCAGCTAATTTTTGTATTTTTAGCAGAGGCGGGGTTTTACCATTTTGGTCATGTTGGTCTCAAACTCCTGACCTCGTGATTCACCTGCCTCAGGCTCCCAAAGTGCTAGGATTATAGGCGTGAGCCACCACGCCCGGCCCCACTAATTTTTTTTTTTCCCCACATCTCCTAGGGTACCTCTTTTGGGAGCTAGTGAAATTCATTATTAGAGAACAATATTTGGAGGATGCTGAGTGGTGCCTTGACTCTGTGTGGTCATTAAACATCTAATGCTAAAAACTCATGAGGGAGCTCTTCTTTATTGTTTCACCATATGAGAACATGTGTTTACCATTAGAATCTTCTCTTTCTCTCTTTTTTTTTCTTTCTGGTAGATTCTAAACTCATCTATTTCCCAACCTGAGACTTGCTTCTTCCAGAATTTTAAACAAGTCTTGAGTTTTGATATTTTGGGGAAGCACAGCCATTCATAAGTCTAAGAGAACCAAATAGTTGTGTACTTATGCCATAAAGAAAAACAAAAGTGTCAGAAGGGGAGGCTGAAGCATTTGACACTGGCTGGCCTGCCATGAAAGCCAACATAGTTAATAGATAGACGAGTAGTCAAATGCCTTTGTGTGATACTTGATAATGTTCGAAACCTAATGGTGTTTGTCTTGCCAATCTTATGAGATGAGTAGGGTCATTTCAATTTTGTAAATGAAATTTGAAATTGAAATTATCATTTCAATTTTGTAAATGAGAAAACTGAGGGAAGCATATAACAGCAAAGTGACTTGCCTAGTGTCATTCATTCAACTACTATTTACTGAGCGCTGACTCTATGCCAGGCAATGTGCTGGGGGCTAGTGACCCAAAGATAGACAAGACAGAATGGTCCTGGCCCTGTGGAGCCGATAGTTTCAGGGTTACATGCTAAGTGGACAAAGGCAATGATGGCTTCTGCTCCTGGCCCAGTGAAAGACCAGCACCAACTATGGGAATATACTAAGTTACACATTTATTTTTCAATAGCTCCTTGAGTTCAGCTATGCCACTTGCTTCATTTTTTTCTTTCACTTGAAAACGTATATGAACTTACATTCCTCCATGATGCCATTGAAAATAGGTATTTAGGCCAGGCACAATGGCTCACACCTGTAATCCCAGCACTTTGGGAGGCTGAAGCGGGCAGATCACAAGGCCAGGAGTTCAAGACCAGCCTGGCTGACACAGTGAAACGCTGTCTCTACTAAAAATACAAAAAAATTAGCTGGGTGTGGTGGCAGATGCCTGTAATCCCAGTTACTTGGGAGGCTGAGGCAAGGAGAATTGCTTAAACCTGGGAGGCAGAGGTTGCAGTGAGCTGAGATTGTGCCACTGCACTCCAGCCCGGGTGACAGTGTAAGACTCCATCTCAAAAAAAAAAAAAAAAAAAGGAAAAAAAAAGAATATAGATATTTAATAAATCCTTTCTGGGAGTTGAGTTTGAGTTTGTTTTGGCTTTCGGCTGATTATGTGCTAAGTGGTATAAGTTGGAAGAGACAGAAATGACTCATCCCTTGTCATCATGGTGAGGCAAGACACACATAGAAAGCATGCAGAAGACAAGGCACATATGTGTGTGGGTATATGTATATGAGTCTCTATATAGATGGAGATTGTAAAGCATTTGTGCAAGTGGTCATAGTAAGCTCCTAGTTTTGCAGGATAAAAAACATTTTAAATGGGAAAGTGAAACAAAACAAAAAAAAAGCAGAAAAGAGATCAGAAATCACTGGAGTTATCAAGTGTCCCAGTAAGAAGTTTCACAGGGGCTGGGTGTGGTGGCTCATACCTGTAATCTCAGCACTTTGGAAGGCCAAGGTGGGAAGACTGCTTGAATCTGGGAGTTCAAGATTAGCCTGGGCAACACAGCAAGACCCTATATCTTCAAAAAGTTTTCTAAAAGTTAGCTGGGAGCGGTGGTATGTGCAGGTAGTCCCAGCTACTTGGGAAACCAAGACAGTAGGATCATTTGAGCCCATGAGTTCAAGGTTGCAGTGAGCTGTCGTTTGTGCCACTGCACTGGGCAACAGAGTGAGACCCTGTCTCAAAAAAAAAAAAAAAAAAAAAAAAAAGTGGTTTTGCTCCTCCCAGAATTTAAGTGTTTTGGTAAAATGACAGACTCATAAAATGTGAATGCTGGAGGAGCATTTCAGGATTATTTGTCCAGCAACCTCCAGGTGAGAGAAAGAACATTCAGAACAGTTGGCTGAAGTCAGAAAGCTAGTCTGCTACAGAAATGCATTTTAAACCAGCTTGGAGAAGCTGGTAAAAGGAAATGGCCTCTAAAGCTTACCGTGTGGGGCCAGGTAAGGATTACGGTTCCCCACAGACTCTAAGACTTGGTGCATAACAGTAAAGCAGTGTCTACCCTAAGACAAATAGAAAAAAGAGGCCAGGGGGCCAGAGAAGCTGGCAAGTGGTTAAAGAAAATGGCATAGCATAAGTGAGTTTGAGAAAATGACATCTTTTGTTTAAAGCACGGGGTTTATTTGCATTTTTTCTTCCTGACTGCTAAGACCTTAATCATAACCCTGTCCTGAACCCCTCTACCCTAGGGGCCTGCATTCAGTCTCTCAGCCTTGTTCCATTACCTTCGTAGTAATGACTCACACAGCAAGTATGGAAGGCCCTCATCGCGATGGTTGTTTTAGGCAAGTGTCCAGGCAGAGCAACTATCTCAGAATAACTTGCCTGGCAGACTGTTAAGGTGAAAATATTTGTATGCCAGTAAAAACATCAACATATTTTCTACTTGTCAATATAAATATATCAAATGAGATCATGAGGGAAAGGGCTTTGCAACTGTAAAGTATCTCTAGCTATGTTATATATTTATTATTTGCTTTTAAAATACCAAGATAGGCTAGAGAACAGCTCATAATTCCCACAGAACAGTTTCAAGAAAAAAAAAAAAAAAAAAAAAAACTACCCACACTTTTTGGGCCTTGTCCATATGCTCCAGAGTTGTCTTTTGCTGACAGATCTTAAGTGTGACTCCTTTTGAGTGGATGCTTTCACCCACGGCCACTCAGTAACACAGGGGGCCTGAGCCAGCAGCCCGATGAGACTGTGGGGCCTGCTTCAGGAAGGAGGGTGGCCTCTCCGGACCTCACACCTTCCTGACAGCTCAGCACCTGAAAGGAGGCACTGTGGTGGGGCCTTCAAGGGGTGATCCCAAGTTTGTTAGTTTTGATCAACCTAGTAACATGCTTAGTTTCTTATAGGAGTGATAGAATTTTTAAATCTCCAAGTCCTAGTAGTTTAGTATACAAAGCACTCCCCTTGCCACCACCCCCCATTAAAAAAAAACAAAAAAAACCAACAGTGGTATTTTTAGGTCACTTATGTTAAAATTCAGTGGATACTGTTCTGAGGGGAGGAGCTAGGGAATTCCTTCATGAGTACAATTTATTTATTAGACTAGCTACTTTCTCTAGAAAAGCCCAAGGGCTTAGGACTCTGCTCATGGAAGGCAGACCATGGTAGAGAATGTCACCTCTGGGGAGGTGACAGGCAGCACTCGATCAGGGCAGGGTGGGGCTGAAGGTTGGAGGATGAGGATGGTTGTTGGGATGAGATGCACTTGAGCTTCAGCACCCACAGGCTCTGCTGCCCTGTGGCCATTTCCTGAGCCCCACTCCCCCACTGTATTAGTCCGTTTTCATGCTGGTGATAAAGACATACCCAAGACTGGGTAATTTATAAAGAAAAAGAGGTTTAATGGACTCTGAGTTCCACGTTGCTGGTAAGGCCTCACAGTCATGGCAGAAGGTGAAAAGCACATCTTCCACGGCAGCAGACAAGAGAGAATGAGAGCCAGATGAAAGGGGAAACCCCTTGTAAAATCACCAGATCTTGTGAGACGTATTCACTACCACTAGAACATTACAGGGAAACTGCCCCTAGGACTCAATGATCTCCCACCAAGTCCCCCCCAACACGTGGGAATTATAGGAGCTACAATCCAAGATGAGATTTAGGTGGGGACACAGCCAAACCATATCATCCCTCCCCCACCGCCTGCCACTTGTAACCCACTTCCACCCCCTCTTTTTCCTCCCAGACATATTTCCTTTAATTCCTTCAGTTGTCAAATAAAACCAAATTTCTTGGAACGTTGTGTGGGAAAGACAAGAAAACTATAAGCCCACCCAAATGGAACATTATTTTTCTTTGGCCTTTATATATAACATTTTTGTATTTTCAAACCTGTTTCACACTTATGCTAAAATTCTAACCAATCTCTGCACAAGGATGAATTACGACAATTCTTATGACCCTTGAGTTTCATAATGTCAACCCAGTGATTTTAAATTCTGGCACTGGTCTCCCTTCCTCTTGGCTCACTCTTCACATACCACACTTTGGGGAGATGTGTGTTCCAAACAAGAACTTATCCTATTGAGCAGGGTGGGCTGGTGGATTATTAATTACCCACTGAATCTATCAGGTTGGTGCAAAAGTAATTGTGGTTCTTGCCATTACTTTCAATAACTGTTGGACCTGCTAATTTCCATGGAGTTGTGTGCATGTTAGGTTCCTCTTAAATGCCACAGAAAATGGTGATTCATCTTTCGACTGCCCCCAGAGAATGGCGAAGAAAGGTCAAAAACATCCCCACCAGTGAATTACCAGGGCTAGTGGAAACTCTGTCCCCACCATAACCTTCGTCACCCCAGGCAGATCCACTTGGCAGATGACAGGAGCCCCACTTGCTGCCCTGAGCTGAGCACCTCTCCCAGCAACCCACAGGCACAGTGGGACTGGACAGCTCGTCCACCTCCACCCTGAGAGGGTTTCTATTTGGTTCATTGAAAGCGTTACACCCTGCCGCGACGGAGCCCTGATTAAAGGCAAGATCAAATGAGCTCATGGGCATTTCCACTAGCATGAGGCTGACCAGTGACCTGAGAGCAAATCTTCCTTAATTCCCAAAGCATAATTTGAATTTTTATGAGAAGTGAAAGGAAGAGGTCGGTTATTTTGGACAAACATTATTTCAAACTCAGAACAGATGCTTCAAGTGATTCCCTACTTTTCTGCCTCCTGCTTCCCTTCCTAAAACTATGCTTCCCCTTTTGTAAATCTTAGTGTGCAGCCTGTGATTGCAAGCTGAGCTGTGGGCCTCGAAAGACTCACCGTGAAAGTGAATGTGAACAGCAAAGCTGCTGCAATTCAGGGGCAGGGGTAAAGAAGGAAGGGCCAGTAGCATGAGTGGTTGTGTAGAATACTGCTCAGACTCACAGGAAATAGTTTAATTGAGCCAAGAAAAATTTTAGGAGCGATGTGGGAACATGCTTTTTAAAAACACTTGAAGAATTTAGACACTCCTTCCCATATTCTTCTTTTATTTTTTCCTTTTTTTTTTTGTTTTAGTCCCCATTAATTATCTCACACCCTCCTATAAATGCTCCAATTATTTGATTGTTCCAAAATATTGGTTATTCCCTTCCTTTTCCTGTTTCAAACTGTATACAGCCTTATTAAAGATGCTTTTTGTAAGCAATCATAGTATATTAAGCAAGCCATGAGCAGATAATTGCTAACAGTATACAACAACTTCCAAACTCTCTTCTTCAATCAGAAGAAGACAGCTTCTTCTCTGATCAGAAATCAGAAAGCTGTATAAACCCCAGCAAAATCTTCATTTGCTTAGACTCGTTTGCAGTAAGGGTTGACATTTCACCTGTAGCATGTTTTTTTAACAACTTTTCACGAACCAATCTTGACTTTCAGGAGATGAAATGAAAATGGCAAAATATCAGTCTGAAGATCCACACTCTAAAAAGGGAACTGCTGTTCTTTTGAGAGATGCCCTCTCAATAGGGGTCACTGGAAGGTCCAGATGGCCCCCTGACTGCTAACTAATTTGAGGCATCAGGTCCCAATAGGTCTCTGGCTTTAAGGAAGTTGAGACCATACTAAAGGCAGAGAGGGCGAAGAGGAAATAATGAATTTTAGTTTTCCCACACCATAAGGTGTTTGTGCCAAGGTAGCTATGTGTGTCAACACCAGGAATCCCCCACCTGGGAGCCAAGAGGAAGTTTCTCAAAACTGGAAGAAAAGGTGTTTCCCCACATCAGTCCAGCTTTGGAGACATTCTGTTAGTGACATATGCCCCTTTCCCCCCAAAAAATGAAATGTTCTGTGTGATAATAACATAGCTTTAAGAAAAGTAAGACAGCATTCTACATTTTTATAAAGCTCCATTTAAAAATATAGTATTTCCAATTGGACGGTCACCAGAAGTACACAGTTACCAAAAATGCACACTTCCCCTGGCATCTCCAGCATTGTCAGCTTTTTGTGCGTGGTGTGTTCTGGCATCTCCATTTTCTGCAGGATTATTTCCCTCCTTGCCGGTGCCAGCCTTTCCCTTTTTTCCTTTTGCATACCTTCTCTTCCTTCTTAATAGGGGCCTTTTGGAGCTCAGGTTCTGGCTGTGGAGAAGCAGGTCTAACAGACAACCTTGCCAATATTCTCTGTGGCTTATCCTTCAATGTGGCCGTATCTCCTGGAGCATCCCCTCAGCCTTTCTTCAGTGCTGGACGAAGACACTGCATGGTGGGATGTAGTGATACCTGGGCTCTGGTCGGTCCAGGCGTCATTCTCACTTCTTCAAACTGCTCCTCCCTTCTTTTACTAAGCATTAAAGAGGATGACAATGGGGCTCAGGGGACAGTGGGGACAAAGAGCATGAAGATACTTTGATACTTTGATCATGAAGAGGCTTAAGAGGAATGATAGTCCCAGGGGACACAGGCTAAGACTCAAGCTACCAAAGCCAAGCCTAGCATTTCCTTCACAATTTTGCTGAAGGTGTCCTTATCCATTATTGAAATCTTTCATTTTACTGTATGCCCTAAGTTCTTCTAGTTTGAAGATGTGAAGTTTGAATTTGGGGAATTTGTTATTTACGTTGGGAAAACAACAAGGTGAGAATATCAGCAGACGTTACTATTCCTTGCAGATGTTTAAGAATGTTCAGTCTCTAAGATTGTCTTAGTTGAGATTTCTGTGGCCTCTGTAGTAGGTTAAGCTATTAACCTATCATACTATTATTAAACTATTAACCTGCTACAGAGTTCATCTGGTCCAGGCAGGGACAGCCAATCAGGACATCTTTAGTTGGCCTGATGCTCAGATGTAGCCATCACCGACTGACCAACTCTGGGCTGTCTTCTGCTGTGCAGATCCTGAGTAACCTGGTGATGGAGGAGCTGCTGCCCACTCTTCAGACAGACCTGCTGCCTAAGATGAAGGGGAAGAAGAATGACAGAAAGAGGACATGGCTTGGTGTAAGCAATGGTTTTGCTCCAAAACGGAGCTACTCAAAATGGGAACATTCCCTTCACTTTTCTCTTAGGGCATTTGTTGTTGTTGTTTGATATTTCCTTCCCTGGGTGTAGAAACGCCTACCTCCAACCTGTTCAGTCTCACTTACACGAAGACTAATCCAAACAGACTCCAACTCTGAAAGAAAAATGACAATGTGTGTGCAGTTCTGTTTATGTTATGATGGTCTGTGATGAAGGCTCCTCCCTCCGCTTGACTCCATCAGCACTTACACATGACAGAGCCCTGATTTATGTGTTATTCCCTGTTGCAGCTCCTCGAGGAGGCCTACACCCTGGTTCAGAATCAAGTTTCGGAAGGATTAAGTGCTTTGAAGGAGGAATGCAGAGCTCTGACAAAGGGCCTGGAAGGAACGATCCGTTCCGACATGGATCAGATTGTGAACTCAAAGAACTATTTAATTGGAAAGATCAAAGGTCAGTGGAGATAATCCATGGTCTTACTAATTAAATAAACTGTACACACAGGGATCCACCACATAGCAGGAATGCATGGTTTCAGAGGACAATTAAACTTAAGAAATCGGGTGGAGGTGATCACAGCTGCAACAGGAGCATGCTGGAGGTACTACTGGGGGCCTGGGCCTTCCTGTGGCAGCTTCATGGACACAAGGCAGAGGAAAGTTTGTTTCTTGCCTTTGGCAGTGCCTGTGTATTCTGATACTGCCTGCACCTCCAACCCCCATTGTAGCACCCCTGACACTGAGTTAGACTGGCTTCTGCTCCACCTCCTCTCTGCTGTAAGCTCTCAAAGAGCAGAGCCATGTCACCCTGGTTTACTCAAGTACACCCAGGGCCTGGTGTCATGCCTGGCATATACAGACTCAGCAAATATTCAAATCAATTAATACATGGATTTTCCTCTAACATGAAAGCTTAAATTTTGGCTTAGAGTCATACCCAGTCACCCTACAAACCAATAAATGTGGGTTTGTAGCCCCAACTCCAATATTAGCCAGTCCATGCATACTTGGGGAGGTCACTCAACTTCTATTTAGCTCAGTGTCCTCTTCTGAAATTAGGAGGACCCACAGGAGTGGTGTTGGCAAACTGAAGCCCTTGAGCCATATTGCGCCACCACCTGTTTCTGTAAATAATGTTTTCTTGGCACACAGCCAGGCACATTCACTTATGTATTGTCTGTGACTGCTTTTGTGCTACAACAGCAGAAGTGAAGAGTTGGAACTGAGACCTTACGGACCACAAAGGCACAAATATTTACTATTTGGTCCTTTACAGAAAACAGTTTGCCTATTGCCATACAAGAGGCCTTAGACGGCCTCTAAGGAATCCTACAGAATGAAATTCTATGGTTCTCCATTCTATCTGGGGCCTCTACAACCCAACAAATACACCATACCTAGTGACCTAGTGTCACTTCAGAGGAGAAGCTTGCAGGCTCATCTGTGATTGTTTATCAACAGTCTTGCTAGAGAGTTCTCAGATTCTTCACTCACTCACTCATTCATTCGTTAGAAACTATTCACTGTGTGCTTTCCAAGCGAGACAATGGAGTTTTAGCGTGACTGAGGAACACCCTATTCCTGTGCTCAAGAGGCTCAGAGTCTCGGGGCTGTCTGCTTTGTGGATTATCCTCTGCGGTTCAGGCCCCCTTTCCACTGCAGCCCAGCTTACTTCAGGGTTCTTAGCACAGGTCCTGCTGAGAGGAGGTTTGAGGAGGCACAGCTCCAGCACAGGTGTGTGTGTCTGTGTATCTCTGTGTGTCTATTTAGCCATCCTTTCCAAAGCCAGCTCTACATTAACTTCAGAGTATTTGATGTTTTCTACTGTCTGTGTCTCTTATTCCTCCATTAGCACAACTAATCTAGAGTTGACTATATATTGAAATACTTTGTACTACTTAAAACTACCAATGCTCAACTTCTGTGCCAAAATTTCTGCTATCTGGTGCTAAGCTGGGCTTAACCATGGCCATTCTCATGGCTGAAACTAAATCATCGTCCTTTGCCTAAATCTCTGTGGCTCCAGTGTATCTACTTATGATGGAAAAAGATTTTGCCCTGAATTAGTATATTTCCTAAAAGAAGCCATAAAAGGAAGTAATGATCAAGTCTTTTTAAAATGGAATATCAGTGTTACAACTCTTTTAGAATTTGTCTAGCAGGCTTTCCAGTTTTTTTCCAGAAAGCCTCAAAAATAAAAAATAAATGAATAAAATGAAATATCAGAAACACATTTTAACCAGGCATCCAGTGCTCCACCTTTAAAACAAGGAAGTGCGCTTTAGGCTGCATTAATAAAGGGCTTTGTATTTCTAAAAAAAAACCTGGGGAGTATTAAATGGTGATCTCTCTATTTCCTCCCATATGACTCTTGGGAGCAAAGCCCCAGAGCTTTAGTTCTGCTGCACAATTATTTATGCATTCAATAAGCATTTATTCTACTTCTGTTGAGTACAATGGCTGGAATGGCTCAAAGAAGACAACGTGATTTTACAAGGAGAGGAGGATACAAAGCATGTCACAGATGCTGAGACAGAAGGAAAAACATGTTCCTACCAGAGGCAGAACAAAGAGCACAGTGGTTCCCAATATGAGCATAGATCCCATTTCAACCTCAAGAAGCTACGTGGGCACCTCATAATGAGAGCACAGGTCTAGTGTCAGGGGACTGGAAAAAACGGTAATGCCAACAGGTACAATAAGAGTTAACAGTTTCTGAGTCCTTCCAAGGGGCCACTTCCAGAGTTGTAAGCACTCGTAATATAGTAAACTCATTTAATCCTCACCATAATTACTTTTATGATCTCCATTTTACAGATGATAATAGTGAGGTAGAAATTCAGTAACTTGCTGAGATTCCAGAGCTAGTTGTGGTAGAGTCGGGCTCCAAACCCAGGCCCTCTGGCCCTCGCCTTTCAGACATCATCTCTCTGTTCAGCTCCTTCCTTCACTTCGGTAAGGCTTATGAATTAATGTATCAAACACATATGCATCACAGCAGCATCTCTGCATGCTTGAAAAATAGCAGCGCATACACAAATGGGACATGGAACTTCTCCAGCCCGTGAGGAAACACCTGCAGACCCCAGCTCAGGAAGCTGTGTGGGAGTTCCAGGACATTCCGGTGAAATTTGAACTGGGCCTTGAAGAGAGGAGTAGGATGTTTACGAACAGAGGTAGAGGAAGGAAGGCAAGGTAAAGGACATTGAATAAAAGTGCAGAGAGGGGATGGGAGCACACTGTGGTAAGTAGGCATAGAGGGAGAGTGGGCAGAGAGGAATGTTCCCTCCCACAGCCCTCCTGTGCCTATCTTGGCCCCACCCAGCAGGTGAAATCTGCCATCTGCTGCGAGATCTTTATTGCATATTACCCATGTTCAGCATTGTTCTGAAATTTCAATTAGATGCTTTTCAAATACTTTCTCTCTTTAAAGTTAATTAACTAATAATTAATTTATTCTCCTGACAAACAGTTTTATACTTCAGTGTCAAGCAAGTCATTTTTAGAAGACTCATAGATTGTGTCATATTTGGATCAAACAATTGAAAGCATTTTTTCTTTTTTTTTTTTTTATCATCTTAGCAGTTTATTCCTTATCTTAACTGTATCATTTGGAAATTGTGTTTGGCTGTATTTAACAGAAAATTCCATAACAGTGGTTCATAAAAGATACATGTTCATGTCTCGCTAACAAGAAAATAAGCAATAGATATTATTAGGGACTCTATTTCATTCTAAATCTCCTTTCTAGGGATTTTCTATGACCTGTGTAATATTTTACATCCCAAATATTTATGAGTGATTTGTAATATTAATAGTATTAGTCATTTTGGATTCTCAGAATAAGAGGCCGTGATCTGGTCCTGCACCACTCTGTGAAATATTTCTGCCAGTTGAAATAAGAATGAAGCCATTCATCTCACTGCAAGCAAATTCCCAAGAAGAACTTAAGAAAGACACTTGAATGTTATCCCTGCTCCTGCAAATTAGGGTGTGATGTTTGTCCAGTCATCGAACATCTCCAGGCCTCATTTTTTTCATCTGTAAAGTGGAGAGATTGGATACCAGCTCCACTTGTGCTTCTGTTTTCAGTTCTGTGATTCCATGACAAAGCTCTGTGACCTGCCTCCATCCACAAAGCTAGCCTTCCAGTCCACGGAGCGAGCTCAGGTTTCTTCCAGCTCTGGCCTCCTTCACTCCATTGTGGCTTCCTAGCTGATCCTGAGAATTACCTCTCCTCTGAAAACAATGCAGGTTTCCATGTCCTACCCAGACTGGACCAGGAGCTTCACTGTGCTCTCCCTCTTCTAAATCAAAAAGCAGTACTTTCCTCTGGGGAGTGGGATTATAGTGACATTTTTCATTCCTCTTCAAGATCAGAATGTACTCTACATTTTTGTCACTAAGCAAGTCATCTTGGTCAGAAAAACCTATTGTGATTTTGTTTTGTCTTGTTTTAATCAGGGATGGGGACAGGAGGTAGGGTGGCAGACTGAATGGAATTTGGTTCCATGGGCCCAAGAACAGAATGTACTGGAGTTCTTAAAAAGTATTTTGGAGGGGAGAGGGGGATGGAATTATACTGAGTGATTAACTCCTAGAGAAATGAGAAATGAATTAAAGCAATAAATTATGTTTTTAGAAGACAAACTGTGCATATTTAATGATGGTGATTGACAGTAGATAGGTGGATCACCAGCCTTTTCTTCTTTATGTGAAGAGTTGCATGTTCAGAGGGATCAAGCAGAAAATGCATTTTGTCCCAGGGCAGAGGGAAGCTTGGGGAGTGGATAGGTTTGTTCCAGTTCTCAAATGGTCCAGTGGTTTTCCTTTCTTGTGACCACGAGCACCGGGCTCATTGTGCTAGTCTATCATGGCCACTTGAGCTTGCCTTGCCTGTTAAATGGCTCCGTGGGGCACCATTCAGCTCTGGTCTGGCTGCAGTGCCCACAAACCCAGTTTTGCCATATGTCACAGTTTTTTTGGCTATTTCCTACCTTAGCGATGGTGGCCCAGCCGGCGGAGAAAAGCTGTGTGGAGAGTGTGCAGCCATTCCTGGCGTCCATCCTGGAGGAGCTCATGGGACCAGTGAGCTCGGGATTCAGTGAAGTACGTGCACTCTTTGAGAAAGAGGTGGATGAACTCAGCCAGAACTTCAAGAATACCAAAGACAGTGTCCAGCTGAAGGAGGTAGGATACAGAGCTGAGGAGCTGGGTGTGAATGGTCTGCCTGGCTGCATTTTCCATGGGGCTTTATCTGCCATTTCTCCCTCCCTTCCTCCCTTCTTTCCTTGCTTCCATTCTTCTGCCCTTCCCTCCATTCATCCAGCCTTTCTTCCATTCATTCAGACCCCCCATTCATCCATCTATTCATCCATCCATCTGATAGTTTTATTGATGGTTTTCAAGTTAGAAAAATAATAACCTGTTTGTACAAGTGAAAGAACATACTCAAATATATATAAAGGCAAACTTAATCATCATCACTGATACCCACTAATCCTAGTCCACCCCAGCCTCCTAGGCTACCCCCATTCCCAACTCCCAGAATTAACTAATAGAAATAGCTTCGTATGTATTTTTGCTATAGTTTTTCTTTATTCATACAAGTATATATCCTCATTCGTAGAACATTGTTGGTTTGTTTTCAAAAATGTAGACTCATGATATGAAATTTGATTAAAAAAAAAAAAACTTCAGCCAAATTAAATCTAAAGGAGTTTAATTGAGCAACAAACCATTTGCAAATTGGCAGCCTCTAGAATCCCAACAGATTCACAGAGACACTCCAGGGGTGCCTCATGGTCAGAACAGATTTATAGACAAAAAAGGTCAAGTGACATACAGGAATTGGAAGGGAGGTACAGAAACAGTGAGATTGGTTACAGCATGGCCTTATTTGAACACAGTTTGAACATTCAGCAGTCTATGAGTGGTTGAAGTATGGCCCCTGGGATTGGCCAACACTCAGCTATTGTTACTACTGAGTTAGGTTTTCAATTTTGTCTGACTATTGAGCTAGGTTACAGTTCATCCACAAGGACTCAAATATATAAGTAAGGAGTCCTTCTTAGGCCATAGTTAGTTTGCATTAACAATTCCCCCCTTTTGCAAAGGATATGAACAGACACTTCTCAAAAGAAAACATTTATGCAGCCAACAGACACATGAAATAATGCTCATCATCGCTGTTCATCAGAGAAATGCAAATCAAAACCACAGTGAGATACCATCTCATGCCAGTTAGAATGGTAATCATTAAAAAGTCAGGAAACAACAGCTACTGGAGAGGATGTGGAGAAATAGAAATGCTTTTATACTCTTGGTGGGAGTGTACATTAGTTCAACCATTGTGGAAGACAGTGTGGTGATTCCTCAAGGATCTAGCACTAGAAATACCATTTGACCCAGCGATGCCATTACTGGGTATACACCCAAAGGATTATAAATCATGCTACTATAAAGACACATGCACACATATGTTAATTGTGGCACTATTCACAATAGCAAAGACTTGGAACCAACCCAAATGTCCATCAATGATAGACTGGATTAAGAAAATGTGGCACATATATACCATGGAATACTATGTAGCCATAAGAAAGGATGAGTTCATGTCCTTTGCAGGGACATGAATGAAGCTGGAAACCATCATTCTGAGCAAACTATCACAAGAACAGAAAATCAAACACAGCATGTTTTCACTCATAGTTGGGAATTGAACAATGAGAACACTTGGACACAGGGTGGAGAACATCACACGCTGGGGCCTGTTGTGGGGTGGGGGTCTGGGGGAGGGATAGCATTAGGAGAAATACCTAATGTAAATGACAACTTGATGGTTGCAGCAAACCAACATGGCACATGTATACCTGTGTAACAAACCTGCACGTTGGCACATGTACCCTAGAACTTAAAGTATAATAAAAAAATTAAAAACAATAATAATAATTCCCCCCTTTTGGTCATTTTCTCAATTTTGAGAGATTGACCAAAGCCTTAGTCATTGATGTTATTAGCACTATCATAAATGTACTTACATGGTTTTGCAACCCACTGGGAAACAGCAGAACAGTGGGTTTTGCAAGGAGGGAATAAGGACTGAGTAGAGAGCACCTCCTTATGCTGGAACATCCTATTTACAGGAGAAAAACAAAATCTGGTCTGTTCTAGGATCTTTGTATTTTCTTAAAGTCCTAGCTTGATTATGTCCCATTTAGCAGAAGTGGCTCTATTTTAGTTTGGTTTGGTTTGTTGGGGCCTAATGCATGAGCTTAGTCCCAAATAATGGCCTCCCATTTAAAATTTTGTTTAAAAATAATTCCCCCTTTTGAGCCAGGTTCTCACTTAGGAGAGAGTGTGACCAAAACTTAGGGCCTTAGCGCCACTCTCAGTTACCATCATTTTGGGTTTCTGGTCTCGGCATGTCATTCATATAGGTTATGGAGTCCTCATGGTGGCATGTTTCTTTCAGCTTTTGTCATTTCAGTTGAAGAGGGACCATTTGACGTCCTAGAGATGGCTGCATGCAAACATTTAAAACCTTTGAGAGAATACGGCACACCAGGAAGACTATTATTATGACTACTGGGAGGATAATATCGAGAGTTTGGAGTATGCTCCTTACCCAGGGTCCCCATAAACCAATTCACCTAAAATTAAATAGATTAAAGAATGAGCTAGATGAAGAGTCTACTCACTTGACTAGGTGGTCTTTTCATTAATCCCCTACAGCTGAATTTTTATAATCTACATATGATGTATTTCTGCATAGGCCACAAGTGTCAGCAGCTGCATAGGTACATTTCTGTTTAGCCAATTTTATTATTTAGCACAACTTTCACAAGAGAATTTAAAGTCTGTTGTGTAACAACAGCCTATAAAGTAGAATTTGCTGTAGGGCCTATTATGAGAGAGACATTTCTAATTATTGTCTTTTAGAGTAAACCATGGAGAAAGGACCTAACAAATGATGTCCTTTTAGAAGAGTGAAGGCCTCCTGGCAGTGTTCTCTTTAATCCATGATGCAGGTTAAGAGGAGTTTTGACTGATTATGAGGCAACGTATGTACCACTAAAGTTTCTCACCTACATTGGGCCTTATTCTGTTTTCTATTAAAGTATAAGGTTATTCATACATAAGGTTGGCTGAAAAATCCTTCACAGATAAAATTATACCCTATAAGTGCACATAATAGACTCCCTTTTCATTTATATTGTTCATAGAGGCATATACAAGGAAAAAGTATTCAAAGATCAGAGTCTTGTGATAGCAGAAGTCTTGATCCATGATCTTGGGAAAAGCTGTTCACATCAAGGATGTCATCTTCTTCTGGGGAGAAACTGTCCTGGTTAGTTTAACTTAAGGGGTCCAGTGGGTATTTAGTTCCAGGACTATGAAGCGACCCTTCTCAGTTGTGAGATTATGAACCCGAGGTTCAAGTCTCCAAAGTTTTGCTGTAGTATGGAGGGCAGTGACAGTCTTTCTCTGACGTTTTCAGAAGATCTAATCTTCAGGTTCTAGATTATGAAGGGATTGTCCTCAGTGAACCATAAAAAGCTTTCTTTACCTGGTGAAAATACATTGTAGCATAATAATCTACTGTTATAACATCAGCCCTTTTGCATGGGAAAGCTTTTATACAATTAGAAAACATGCACTGAAAATGACAGTTGAACGAAATCCGTTTATAAATGTTTAAATGGCCCATCAGATAGCCAAATGTACCTGAAGCTTTAATTTTTTTGCCAGGAATATGGAAGCAAATATGGGTTCTAAACTATTTCCATAATTTATAAGTTACCACATCAGTAGATTCAATTTGGATTATTTTATCTTTTCCATGACAAGTCATGGAATGCAGAACCTTTAATAACAAAAGCTTAAGGACTCAGGAAGGACAAGGTGGCCATCCTAGTTCTTCATGAGTCCATGCTTAACAGTAGGCTTATGTCCGCTTGAATACCAGTTGTTTCTCCAATTTAGGTGCACAGCACTGATAACTAATGGGTTATCATAGGTAATTTGACTTAGACCGTGGAGTTCATTCAAATTGTATATGTAAACAATTTTAGTATTGGCTGATTTAGCATGATAATCTAGAGCTTGGTTTTGAAAGGTTTGTCAGATACCACAGGTTTTAAACATTGGATATTACAAAGTAGAATCTTAGGTTAGCTTCAGTCATTCATTTAGCCAAAATGATGATACAAAAATTTTTTAAAGGATGAAACATTACTCTGATAGAGAGGAGACCAGCTTTCCAAACAAGACCCAATGAAGATAGCATGAGGCCAACTGCCTGTCTCCTTTCCTTCCCTCCCCCCGCCCCACCTTTTTCTTTTGTAGTTTACTTAAAAGGTAAACAAAAATCTTTCATTATCTTTTAATATTATATAAAAATCGTTTTTAAAAGAGAAAGCCAAATTTTATGTTTCCATTAGTGTATTTTTAATGTAAAAGCTAGTTTTTAATAACATTTTATAAATATATTCAATATTAATTACTTTGACCATAAGGTAAGATTTTTATAAACCTTTTATAACTCATTAGAATTTTTTTTCTCAGAACAGAACAATGTTCCAAGAAAACTCTGTTGTGCTTTTATTCCAGTGTCCAATTTAGGGAAAAAATAATAATGCCATTTTATTTAGCCAATATATTCACACATAGAATCTCTTACAGTTAATTTTTTATAAACCTTGCACAACGTGTTCAAACCTTTAGCTTTATTTAATTTAAAACAATCCTTTAACCCTCTAACCTAGGCAAAAATTTACATTTCCATACCTTCTTATAATCTCTTACAAAAAATACATTTCATTCTCCTTACATACCTTGCATGTAAACTTATTTTTTTCAGTAGGCTCAATTACATATTATAGTGTTAATGCTCAGCAACTTTTACTTTTGGTAAAAATCTTGGTAAGTAAGGGATTTTAATTATGTACTAGGTGTGGAGCCTAGGACCCAGACAGAAATGCAGATAAGGTCTGACTTATTCCAGCATCTAACTCCATGTGTCTCAGGCCTTACCTAGCTGTAAAGCAGGCAAACTGTACAGTTAAAAGTCATAGTGGCAGTTTATGAAGCACGTTTAAATTGTACAACATTTCTGGCACAATTTCTTTTTAATAAATTATTTCACAACTTACACAGACCATGTATGACGTGTTTAGACTTTCTGACTT